GCTACTACTACCACTCCTCCTCCTGCTGCTGCTGCTACTGCTACTGCTACTGCTATTGCTACTGCTACTGCTGCTACTACTACTACTACTACTACTACTACTACTATTACTCCTCCTCCTGCAGCTGCTGCTACTACCACCACCACCACCACCACGACGCCTACCACTGCCACCTCCTGCTTCTCCTCCTACTCGTCCCATCACTGACTAAGGTGGTGCTGCTGGTACTGCATGTGCCATTTGAAACCAGGAGTGATTTTCTGGATGTCTCCGTCGCTCAGTCAGATCGGTCTCGTTCATCTTCCACGTCCAGCTGCACAAGAAGCTCCTGACTAAGGGAGCATCGAAAATCCGCCAAAGGGACCGAAGTTGAAGACCCTAAGTTTGTGGGTCAAGGGCCTTGGGTTCTCGGTTTTCTTTTCGACCGTGCCGCCCCAGGGAGCTGGTCCGTCGGGTGAGATGCGCTTGGGGTATATTACGAGGTACGCTAATACTGGCTATTCAGCACGATGTATAATATGAGGCTAGTTTGAAAAGAGTGTAGCCTGACGTTTCTTTTGGGTGCTCCTTCCCCAAAGCCCCTTGATTTCCCAACAACGAAACCTGAGCTCAGGGTTGAGTAGGTTTGGAGACAAGTGCAAAGGAATAAGAGAATCATGTGTGTCATTGTGTGTCTTGTGAGTTCTGGTCTGCAGCAGGCCCACCTCGATGCTCGGCACGGACCCATCGCCGACCTATGCCAAGCCAAAGTTAAGGTCAAGAGTGCTTGTTGGGAAAGGTAGGATTCTTTCGGGTAGCTTTCAGCTACCAACTAGTATCAGAAGCAGTACCAGTAGCACTCGTCGTCCTCCCCCGAGTCGTCGTCGCGAAGCAGCAGCAGCAGCAGCAGCAGCAGCAGCAGCAGCAGCAGCAGCAGCAGCAGCAGCAGCAGCAGCAGTTCGTGGCTAGTGGCGGTACTAGTTCTGGTCGTCCTAGGGGTAGCAAAGGTGTCGTAATGGAAGTGTGGTGGTGATGGTTGTAATTAGCAGTAGCGGTAGCCATTGATCGTAGTCATAGTACGTAGGGGGAGGAGCTGCACTGGTTGTGGCTCACAAGTCCTCTCAGCCTGAAGAAGGCGGACCCGATGGAGTACATACAGTTCGGAAACTCTCCCGCCTGCTCATCAACAGCCCTGATCCGACCTCCCAAGGCCCTGAATCCCTTACACTCTTTACTCCCGTACTCTACAGAGTTTAAGAGCTCACATGCTTCGGGTTTAGGCTTCCGGGCTCAGGGCTCAATGTATGCAGTGCCGCGGTGTTGGGATCGATTAATGATCTATGGCTCTGGGCATGGAGCTCGGGCTTTGGCATTGTGGATTCGCGATCCTCCTAACCAAACCCCGCGAAATGAAAAATTGATTCATGCGATGCGCAGACACCCGCTTTCAAGCCTGAAAGCCTGAAACGTTAAAAGCTCAAACCTTCAGCTCTACTCTGCGATCCGCCGTAACTCCCTGGCACGGCCTCCACGCGTGCAGAGGGCCGGATGGCCTATGGGCTCTTGTGGCAGAGGTGCTTCGAGGGTTTCGGGCTTTTGGAAGGCTTGGTTGCCTCTGGGGCGCTTTCAGGACAAGGGTTCAGGGAATGCTCTAGGTCTCAAATCCGACTAGCCACCAACACGATTAGAACCAAACCTCCAACCCATGGCTTTGAGTCCAGAACCCCTACACGCCCTGAAGCCCCTCTAGCCTCATGTTGGAAACCTCAAGTTGCCCCGAGCACGGCGTGACCGGATTCCGGCGCCTCCCAATCTCTTGCCTCGTCGAGGTCCAGCTGCGCAAGCAGCTCTTCCATGCTCTTCCTATCAAATGGTTGGTTCTGCAAGTAGATAACTGCGCAAGGGACTCCAGTCAGTCTACACTAGGCAGGCGGGGTCGATATGCAAACGCAAGCCATGTAAGTAAGCGTGCGGAAGAACACCCCAGAGCATGTAAGGGCATTGCGTGGCATCTACTGAAATCTGCTGAAACGTGGATGTAGACGAAACAGGAAATTGACACCGATACCGACATGAGCTCCTGTGCTGAAATTCATCGCACTGAAGTGTAGTCGAACAAAGCCACGAAACAAGCACATAAAGGAACTCAGACTATATCAGAATCATGCGTAACACTTCGTGTATACTTGCAGCTGTGGCGCATCACACAGAAGCCTTGGCTGCGGAGATCGAAATCGAAACTCGGGAAGCTCCGTTGAAACACCAGCCCGGCAAACATCAAAGGCTGCAGAGCAACAAGGTAAGTGGCAATATCCGACGCCTACGACGATCACTAACTCGTTCCACATCAGGACCTTTCTTGAAAACACACAACCCTGGCACCGAACCAGTCTCCTGGGTCTTTTAACGAAAAACGAGTTCGGGTCGAGGTGCCTTCTCCTTCCCCTTCCTCTGAACTGCTGGCCCCCTGGGCTCCGGCTGCGAGAGGCAACCGAGAGGGTGGCGAGAGGGAGGGGGTTGGAGTTTGGCGGGCAGGGCCTGACGGTGGTTTGTGTCTGGACACCCTCTGCCAATTATCGAAGATATGGCCTAAACCACACGTAGTCAGACTTCGCCAGCACAAATCAGTTGAATCCAGTTCGGTGGTATCGCGATAGTTTAGGGTGCAGGCTTCCCGCTTCATGAGGGCGCCTCCTTTTGCGGAGGCCACTTGGTGCCCAGCTGTTGCTGCAGAACTACACCCCAAACCCCGAAACGCCAAACCCATTCATCAGGTCTCAAACCTGGAATTCTCAATCCCAACCGCAAGACTGTGAACTCTAAAACCTTGAAGCCATCAAAAAACTGTACAAAAGCTCCGATAACTCACCGTTTCAGAAAGGCGCCATAAGAACCCTTGAGTTCACTAAGACCCTAAAAAATGCCTCGAAGAACATGGTGACGGAGTCGTCTGCACCGGCGGAGATGGCTGCTTCAGCCCACTCCTGGATGCCTGGCAAAGTCTGCTTCTTCGGGTTCAAGGGTTTTGGGAGTTGGGGGTTTCAGGTGCTGGGATATAGGGCTTTCGTTATGGAAGAATTTTGGGGCTGTGTTGCGGGGCTAAGAGGGCCGTGAGCTGTTGGGCTAAATAGGATTTCGACACATTCTCAAAAAATTGGCTTCGAGTCTTGGGGGAGTGGGCAACTTTGGGGTTTAAGCTTTGGGCTTCAGGTTGTAAGCTCGAGGCAGGTGCGCATTGCTTCTCACATCATTTTACACGCACTGGCTGCAGGAATTCCCAAGACCCGAAACCCAAACCCCAAAGATCCACAAGCTACCCGGAACCTCGAGTGCATGTAAAGGAGCTGCGGATAAAAGTTTGGAAAGGCATGGACTGGGGCTCCAAGCTTGGGGTTTCGGCTAGGGATGCTTGGAGGTGAAGGGACGAGTGTCAGCGCGGTACGCAGTTTGTGTCAAGTTGCCCCAGGGCAAGATATTCTCGACGTCGCACTCGCCTCGGTTCTGGTGGTGGCTATGAAAACTTGCCAAATAAAGGAACATCCCTTGCTTCCGGAACTTCCGTCGGAAAATCCAAGTCTGGAAGCAGCAATCTACCGTTAAGCTGGATCCGTGCTGCAAAAGTGCAGTAGCAGTAGTAGCAGCATGAGTACACATGAGACTAGCAGTCTCGCTCTATCCCTCTATGGTATGAGGTACTGTGTTTCAAGACTGCCCAATACTACATAGCACTAGCCCGGTTGTCAGCATCGCAAGTGCTTCTCCTACTGCACTGCCCTCGCTGGTACTGCTCTCTGTGTGATGGCTGCCATTTCTATTGCCAGGGCTGACCTGATCATCATTCACTATCAGTTACCACAGTGAGTGCTCCTTTCTGGATGCGTTGTTGCCATCAGCCTGGAGTATGCAACAGCCTTCCACCAGATGTTGTTTGCTGCAAAGGATGGAGTGTGGGGCTTCAGTTCATCTTTCGACGTCGCTAGACTTCATCGAGTGCTTGGGAGGGTGTGTCCCCCATTTACCATTGCTTTGCAGTCCGTAATCTGTGTAGCCGACAGAGACTGCTCAAGCTCAAGGCTTTTACAAGTGCAGATGCCAGCTACCTGCTAGCTGCTTCGCAAAAGCAAACATAGGTTAAGCCGTGCTGCGACTGACTCTCCTGCAAGTGCTTGCAGGCTGTTTGGGCTCAATGTTTTGGTCTTGGGTATTGGGGGCGGGACACAGAAAGAAGACTTAGTAAATGGCGTTTTCGTTCTAGTTGCTCAACAGTATCACATATGTATAGGCAGATATCCAGATGAAGATTCAAACATATGCATGAGCATACACATACGCAAATATCCATACCCATCCGTACACATACATACACACATACATATGTATACATGTATACACACAAAAATACACATGCACACACACACACACAGAGACAAACCTTTACACATATATGTATGCATGCATGCATGCATGCATGCATGCATGCATGCAGGCAGGCAGGCAGGGAGGTAGGCAGGTAGGTAGGTAGGCAGGCAGGCAGGTAGGTAGGCAGGCAGGCAGGTAGGTAAGTGTCTACTCATTTGTAGAGAATGGTTGTGTATAGACACATATAAAGCATTCACAAAACATATCTCACAAATGCATACCTACCTACATGCATGCATACATACATACATGCATGCTTGCGCACATACATACATAAATACACACATACCTACGTATACAAGTACATGTGCGAATACATATACATATATGTTGCACATGCAAAGAAGAAAGGTTGGGTCATCAGAGCTCTTCATGCTGACGGACCGGGGGTTCGGGTTCAGAGGGAACCTCGACACGCAATCATGCGAAGGTTCGACAAGGCACCCAGCTCGTCCGAAGGGCGGTGTACGCAAGCTCTCAACTAACACCAGAGCATAACTTCAGTTCCAGAACCTTTCGACAATCTGGAACCGAAACTGCTCTTCCTGAATACTACACTTCTCAAAGCTAATGAATCCCTCAGCCCAACCCCCGATAGGCTCCTCCACTCATGCCCGTGGCCCGGGTGCGGGAACCTTCTTGGCCGGTCCCTAACGCCATCGCTGGGGCCAACCTGGAATCAAAGCTGTGTGGGGGGCACAAATAGACTACGTAGAATAGCTGTTTGCTTTTTCCGGTGCCTTATCGTGGAGCAACATGCCTCTCAAGAGTCCGAGGTCAGCACCATGGCACCACGAACGATGCTGGCAGGCTCTTTCTGCACACCTGTCAGGGATGGAAAGAATTCTTTTAACACATGTGCGGGAATTGGGAGCTAATCCCTTTTCAAGACGACAGTGGTGCTTGGGGCCCCTTGTCTACTGCACTCTGCGGATTCTGATGCCAATCTCTCTGCACAGGTTCCGGCTAAGGCAAAGATCGACAGGAGGAGATGCCATTGCAGTCGCCCCCCAAGCGCCTGCCCATGGCTCCCAAGACCCGGCAGCCGGGCCCTCGCCGCTGAGAGGCAGCAAGAGCACCAGCTGGCTCGGAGTGTCCTGCAGCTTGGGCTTCGTCTCAGGTGCTTCTTCGGGTCCTACTCCATGCGCGTGGGAATTGCATGGAGTGGGACGTTCGGCATCCGACGGTACAGGCTCCTCAAGAAAGCAGTCCAAAGAACCTTAGCAAAAACAGACACAGCCCCGCCAGACGACTCTTCCAGCGCGAAATATATAAACCTTAGCACGCTCGAAAATCCCAAATCATAAAGACCCAAAACCCTCAACTTAGGTTATGGCCCAACAAACAGCTTCTTGTGTAGTAGGCTAAGGCATTCCCAGGTCTACTGAGATGCCACTAGTTCCAAATCAGATTCTTCTGGGACCGGGGTGCCTAACAGAATCACCTAAGCCTCCAAGAATCACTCCTGGCCGTACACAAATACCACAAACAAGCACGTTTTTCAGTCCACGCAGCATCAGCTGTAATGCACGATAAACCGTAAACCCCTAATCATACGGCCTGAGGCCCAATCTACACCCTACCCTCTGTTTGAGCAAGAACTGTTCCAGCAACAAGACGGCTAGCCTGGCGGGCCAGGAAGGAGATCTCCAACTCCTCGGAAGCAGGATCACAGCTCGAAAGACATCATCGAAACATTGCAGGTTTTGGGGCTCGTGGCTTCGGGCAGTCGAAGGCCGAAGGCTCCAAGGATGAGGCTTTGGAGCTCAACAAGGAGGGAAGATGGGTTCACTGTTTCGACCCTGCGCTTAGTAGCTTTGGGGTTTGGAGATGCTCCGAAGAATTCGCCCCCGTTTCTGAAGGCATCTTCGAACATAGCAAAAGCCAGCTTCTAAAGCCTGGCGCCTGAACAATCCTCGAAACGGACCTCGGGCTGCGGAACCCTCGGAAGCTTGCAATCCAGGCTCCCACCAGTTCCCAAACTGCGACGGAAGCAGGGATCGAACGACCTGCAAGGAATTCAGTGTGCCAAAAGCGATTAGGACATTTAAAAGAAAGTGTGTGGTTAGCGGGGGGCTTTGCGGGTTTAGGGTTTGGGTTTGCCATTCTGAGGTTCTGCCTGTCCGGCAGTCCGGCCGTGCATCGATAGAGCTTTACTCCACTATACCCCAATACCCAAGTCCGTGTTCGGACTGCAGCGATTCAAACCACAACTACGGCTCCCGAATTAATCTCTGCAGGATGATGAGCTTCAAGCTACGACCCTAAACCTCGGCCTTGCATTAGATGCATCTTAATAAGCTTAAGTCCACAAACCCCACAAAGTCTAAGTTGCAGGGCCCCAAATCAGAATAGAACCTGCAAAGGACACTTTGTAGAAGCCGAGCAAGCCCGACGGATTAACAATGCTATGTTGCAGTACACACGACCATTTCACGATTCTGAATTAAAGCTTTTGGGGCCCAGGAGCCCCGATCCGCTCCACGAGGCCGTTTCTGAGGCACACAAAGCGGCCCAGTGAATCGTAGCAGTGCACCTCTTCAGAGCGGGGCTCCGAAAGGGGTGCTGAAAGGGTTTGGGTTTTGGACGGGGTAATTGTTGGGTCTCATAGGGCTTCTCAGAAGGTTTCTGTTCTTGTGAGGATGTTTAGGTTGTACCTTTCTGAGGGGTTTCTTCGTGTGTTCATCGGGTGTCAAAAAGACGTGTAGGGTTTCACATCTGAAAGCATTACGGCAGAAGCCAGAAAATTGGAACATCATTATCCTCATGCCCGAAAGGTAAAGCGTAAGGAATCCTAGCACGAATCCTGCTAAACCCATGTTCCAAGTTTCTCGGGTTCAATATACCACGGTTTTGTGATACTGTTCGGGCGTTCTTATTATTGAAAGGACTCTGAAGGGATGTAAGAAGCTTTAAAGGGACGTTGAGGTGCTTACGAACGGTTGGGCTTAAGGCTTATTTAGTGTTGGTTGACGGGCTCTCGGGCTTGGGGACTTTGGGGTTTACGCGTTCTTCAGGGATGTCAAGGTGAAACTTTGGGGCTCAGGGCGCACTAGGCTCAAAGTCGGGTTAAGTTCAAGAAACCCTGTACCCAACATGCAGGGCTCGCATTCAGGGCCGAAGGACTTTAAATTCGAGGGACCGCATTGAGCGGCTGTGCGGTGATCGCGAAATCTGCAACAATGTCGTCACAACTACGTATAGCTTGCATGGTCATCGTCATCGCCGTAGATCATCATCATATCTTATCATCATCATCATCACCACCACCATCCACCATCATATCAGCATCATTATTACCACCATCATCATCATGCTCATGATCGTCATGATCGCCCTCCTCGCTCTTACAGCTTCTCAAGTTTCAAAACAATCGCACCCCGAGCCTTTCAGCCAAACTGGTGTAGCAAGAAGACGTGTATGATAGACGGGAGTGGGGCTATATACTATAAACGAACTGCGGATCCGTTTATGAAATCTGATTGTTCGCATTTCCTTGCTTTGCAAGCCCTTAACATCTTTCTCCACGGGGAACCTGCGTACATGCATGGGAGTCCGGCACTCACTTGCGAAGTTGAGAGCGTGTAAGTTCCCTCGGATTCGCAAGACATTCGTCGCAGAAGCTCTGGGCGGTTTCACCGTCCAGGAAGAGTGATGTGGGTTGATGACTGGCTGATCTCTCCATATGCCAAAAGCATCAGAACATCTGCCACGCACAGGCCAAAACTAAACTGATGGAGAAAACATGCGCAAGAAACTTCGAGGCATGGTTGTAATAGAATTGGTCAATGTTGATGACCTCCCAATAGTGACCCCAGCGGAGAACAACACCTTCACACCCTAAGGCTGTGGCCTTAGACCTGAACCTTGTGTCCTCACGCGGATCATAGAGCCCTGAGCATAAGCCTGGTCTACGTAGGTTTGCAAAGCTTTATGCAAGTTTGGGGTTCTGGTGCACGTCCCGTAACCTAGCAGCTACGTTTTTGCAGGGTATCATTGCGCTTTGGTTCGGGTTCAAACTGCTTAGTTCAATGCTAACAGGGACGACTTTACACTGTTTTACAGGTGCTGTTAGGCCAAGCTTTTTTTGGACTTCACTTAGGCCTTGCTGGGAAATGTGGCAGGCACAACGTATTCGGTACATTTCTAGGGCTAACTGATGAACATTCTGTCATGTGTCTTTGTTTCTCAACACTGCTTCTGCGCCCTATTTTGCTGCCTTTTTTTAAGGTTTCTTTGTTAGGTGTTTGGGGGGGATGATGACGGATATGTCGGGCCCTCCTTTTCAGCGACCACCTTTGGCCAACTGACACCGTCTCCGACGTGACGAGCTCAAAATGCCAGCACTCCAACCGGCCAACATGTCGCCGAAAGAACTTCGAGCAAACATGTGCTCTGCACTTGCAACCGGAAGAGCATTCACGTCAAAAAACCAGAGCCGCCTTGTCGTCAGATCGTGCTGAGCCCTCATCGCCAGACGACCAAGCGGTGCTCCAACACCAAGAAGCAGCGGTCCACAAAGATTTTGTAGCTGAGCTCCAAGCAAAAAAGAGATTTCCTACCTTTCTTCAGCTGCAGAGTGCATGCTAATATCGCATGCGACGCGGGCGGTCTTCCGTCAGCATACCGTATGGGGCAATTGCTGCGGCCAGGTCCGCTGGGTTTGAGCACAACAACTCACCATGAGCTGTGGGGTCCTCCAAGGACCCAAAGCGCCAACGACCCAAGCACGGTGGAAGACATACATTCCCGTGCCGAAGGATCACTATGCAGCACAAAGCCAAGGCCAGGATTGCACCATCTTTCACTATGACTTCTGGGAACAAGTGCCAAGCTGTCGCTATTCATGTCACGTCTGCATGAACTTCACATGATTTCAGCTGCCTATTGCTCATCAAGTCTGCATGAACTTGGACTGGTTTCAAGAGTTGCAATCTGGAGGAAGTATCCGTATCAAACGACCAATTGATTCCAAGCTGCAAAGTCACCCACTGTCATTCTGCTCTTCACGAGCCTTTTGTCCGTCTGCAGGATGACGTCGTGGCAAAACCCTGAATTGACTCGAACATACCTGAACATAACCTTTCTAAAACCTCTTTTTGGATGGCGTGTTCAAAACTCAAAAGCCATGCCAGTCGCTCCCCAACCACTTTTTTGGGCTGTAACGGGCTTGGCCCAGCAGCACAACCCAGAGAGCAATGCTCACGAAGCTTGCAATGCAGGGAGTGGGACTTGGGACATGTGGACGAGGTTGAAAAAAGAGGCCTGACTAAGAATGGGGTCGTGGGGCACTGTTACCGCACCATGAGTATGTAGAGACTTCTAATGACTAGTGTTACGAAGTCTTGAAGCCCCGTATTAGTTCATGGTTTCGGATTTTGGGCAGCGGCTGACTTAATGCATTTTGCCAAAGTCTTGGTCGAAACAAGCCACAGCTTGAGGTCTGAATTTCCTGCGCAAAGATCACTATATACTGTGCCAAGTGTCCTCGTGCTAAACGTGGTAAGCAACACTACCAATGATTGACAAGCAAAGGCACACACATGTCATGACAATGGAAGACAACAGCAGCTGCAACTGAGAATGACATGCAAGAAAAATGTACGTGCCATGGCATGATGTGCGAAGATGAAAGCAAAGATGTTGAACACCAAACATCGAGACCGTGCACAAGAAACTCCCAAATACATGCAACCCAAATCAGCTAACCCCGCAACCCCTGGACCCAACATCCCATAACATGCGTCTCCCTCGATGTCCGGACAGGTCCGATTCACCAGTCCGCGAGCGATCCACCCCGCCGCGAAAACGCACAGCGATGAAGAGAGTAGCGCTTGCACTTGGCCCTGACAAATCTGATCGTTCAATACCGGGGTGTGCCGCTGCGAAGCTGAACCGTTGCATGTGGCTGTTCCTGTGACAGCAACATGGCCGGTACAGATGCTAGATCTGTGTCTGCAACGTCCACGAGCCCAGCCGAAAGCCATCGAGACTTGGACGGGACCAACCTTCCGAATGCACCACCCCACCAAAGGGGTGGCACGTGGACTTCTTGACAAGTCTGGCCGCTGCATTGTCAGAGATGCTCCTATCGTACTGGCAATCGAAATGCGAGCGTTGAGCACTTGCTTCTGTTTGGTATATGTCACAAAGCCAGCACGCGTACTAGAATCAAAGACGTCGTGAATAAAGGGCGTCGAATCAAGATTGAACAAGCAATACTAGATTCCTCATTCACTAGACTTACTAAATTCGGTCTATAGGTTGTAGACACGTTTCAGAAGGCTAGTGTGGGGATGGGAGAGCACACGGTAACCCAGCAAGGAGCCGGGTACTCTGTGCCAACATGTAACATGAGTATTGGGGCCAGTACAGTAGAGCTCCACGGCCTTTGGTAGCCCAAGGCTCCGCCTGCCGTCGCCGCAGCGCAGTGTCGGTTTGGCGCACATGCACAGGCGACCCTTGCAGAAAGACGTCTGCAAAGGAATCTCCAAGTGCAGTACAGAAAGCAGCGATCTCATAACTAAGCCAAATCAAATTCAAGCCTAACCCCAAAACCCTACAGTCCATGAAGCGATCTCCGCAGGTCCGGATTCTGCGTGACTGTCTCAAAATTTAAGGAGGCGTCAGGTTCGACTCGGAGCGCCATAATAAAAATGCGCGACCCATCTGGGAATGTTATTGGCTGCTGCTGGGTTAAATGACTTAAGGCTTTGGGGTGTATGTTCTAAGTGTTCCTGAGAAGCCTTCCTCCATACTCAAACTATCAGAAGCTGACATCCATGCTCATGCTGTCTCATACTATCAGTAATTATGAAGCAGGCGTCCATTCAAAAGAACCCCTCGCCACCATTGAAAAAAGACTCGGCAAACCGATGTCTTCAGAGGTGTCCAAGACAGCTTGACTGGGAATCTCAGACCTTGCGGCGATTTGGGTTTAGGACGTTAGTTGAGGCTTTGGGTTTGCTGGGGGGGTTGGGGTGCTAAGGCTCGCTACACTTTCAGCAGCACATGGGCTACTGTCGATTCTATTAATATAGACCGAATAGAACACGGTTTCTTACACGAAGCACAGAGTCTAAGCTCAGGACATCGCTTCCAACTCCGACAAATCGGCGTCCGTCTGTCCGAGTTCTGCGACCCGTCATCTCCAAACGATCCCCCGATGCCTTCTACGCATTTCGAAAGCCGACAAGTGCATTGCTTTACTTGGCCACTTTCCGTTGGAAAATCTAGGTCTTTCCTACGACCTGAACTCCAAACACCAAAGCTCCAAGCAAAAAACTTCTAGCTCCGAAGCGACATGCCCGACAACCTGATGCCGGCCTCACTCTTGGAAATCTAATCCGATGTGTCCACTTCCGCCATCAGACGCCTGTCTTTTGCCAATGGGGTGTTCACAACTTTGAAGGTTCGTCCAGGCTTCGAGAAAAGTCGGGACGGGAGGACCTAGAGGGGTCAAGCTATAGGGATCGGAGCCGCCTTAAGTGACCCCACATAGCCTCAGCATGAGGCGTTTACGGTCCTTTCAGTTCTGTGGTCTTTTCGTTTCCGATTTCTGGACGTAGGATTTCTACTCCTAATCCCCATCCCCAGGATCTTGAGTTGAGGGTTTGCCTTGATGCTTTGGTAATCCCTTCCAGCCGTGGTCAAACTCTATAGACCCTAATCGCCGGAAGCGCCGTGAAGCACCCCATTCCCCATAGAATGGTTCAGGGTTTGTGGCAAAAATGAAATGCCCTGTCCTCCCAGTGATCAGTGTTTAAGGCCGCACGGAGGAAAACATGGGTTCGTGCATATTCCGAACGGAAGTAACTGGTAGCAGTCGTCGTCGCCGTCGCCGAGTCGCAGTAGAAATCGTCGTCATGCTACAGCTATCATTGCTATCATGCTTACCACGGTCATCTTCATGTCCGGCAGCGTCGTCGATGTTCTTGGCAAGCGCACACGATTCTCGTATCGACCACCAAGCAAGCTGTTCATCTGAGAACTGCTCAACATCGTTAGTCAGCATAAGAAAGCAACAACGGTCGAGTCTTGAAGGTTTGTGTGAAACCCAGAAGAAAGACTCCCAGGACCAAATCCAACACTAGCCTAAATCTCTAAAGCCGAAAAGGCCAACATGCTGCAGGGGCCTGGAAGGTACCCCAGAGCTGGGGCGTTGTCCATGGCTGGTGCTTCACCTCAATCTCAGGATGTAGGCTTGGGGCTGAACTTGATTTAGGGGTGGGGGCCCGGTGGGAGAGGTGTCCGCGCAACAATCTAGTTTCGGTGTAGTGCTTGAGCTAGCGAGGCCCGAAGCATGCTCGACCACCAACCGCGAGGTGTGATTAGAAGCTACGACTTGAGGGGTCTTGGCCTCTTCAGGCTCCAGGGTTTCAGGGGCTTTCAGCTTTGAAGGGTCGAACCAAGAGCGCTTCGGCCTCAAAGGTGCAAATGCTTGAGGTGTGGCCTTAGGGCTTATGCTGGATGGGGCTGGCTGAAGTTGTGCTCAGAACGCTATGCAGCACCTATAAAGCCTGAAGGGATGCGTCGCTGGATGAATGCATGTGAAGCTTCCTCGTCTCGGAATCTTCAAGAAGCTATACCGTTCATACCGGCGACCTAATTACGTCTGGCCACATCCCTTCTCCGAAACCTTGAAAAGGGCGTACGCGACTCGCACGTTCATCGAGTACCCATGAGCCCGTGTTGATTCTGCGACCCAGCTGTATTCGCTTTGGGTTGTTGTTGAAGACTTGAAGAAGAGGAAAAAACTTTCCTGCTCAACACCTTGTGCTTTGAAAGCAACAGCCTCTCGAATCAAAACCGCGGAGGCAAAGGCAATAGCCTTTCATATTCAACAAGTATGCCGGAGAAAAGGTTGGCGCACTGTGGAATCTGGAATGACAAACACTGCCACCTACGAACTAGGAGAGAGCAGGATACGGGCAGCGAGGACCGAAGACAGAGCCGAATCTCTCTGTGTTGTAGTACAGCCCCCCCCCCCGAAAGAACAACTGCTTCTTAAACGTCTAACTACTTGCAGCCAAGGGGGCAGCTATCAGTATGCTCCCCCAGCTGTAGGTTTCAGTCCACTGCACCTTGCAACAAGAAGAGTCAGACAACGTTGCTGAATATACATGGGTTGACCAGAATAGAGTTTTCCACGAAGTATGGGACAGGACTTCGGTGTCTGAGGTTTGTCTCGGTGCTGGAGGTTTGGAGGGTCAGGCCTGCTGGCCGGAATGCGGCCTTGGTTTATGCAAGCAAGGTTGAGCAGGATGCAGAACATGGGGAAATCACAAAAGCTGGAGTGTTGGCAAACTACTCGAAACTACGACTGCTATGTGTTTGCGTCTGTTGCTCTACTCGTTGTTGCGATAGCCCACTCTCCCGAGGCACACGGCGGCAACTGCAAACGATGGGTGCTACGGAAAACGAAACATAAAATATTGCAGCCACACATACAATCGAACTGTTAAATGCTGGTACAATTGACCGCTTTGTGCTGATTACATTCTTGTCGATCACTGTACTTGTGGCCAACATTGCTACAGTTCTGACTGCGACTGCTGCTGCCGCTACTGCTGCGCCGACAATACTGCTCGCATGCGTCGTGGATGTTGCGGCTGCGCTATCGACGTGTTCTTGCTGGTGGGCCTGCAACCTGTGTCATCTTACATTACAGTCGCTGCGTTTGTACTGTCATCATTGATTGCGCCCATGCGTACGATAACTTAGCTTGTTGAGCTGCTGCTGAAGATGTCGCCGGTAGTAATTATAACAACAACTCTCCGACTGTAGCCCCTAGTAACCCTAGCATTGCATTGGTCTCCGACTTGCGCAGCAAAGCGACCTTGGGCAGCACATGCTGACCCTTGATCGGGCTGGCCTTGCTGTGGACAGCTTGCGTTGAGGTTGTCAGCTTCATTCTCTCACAGGTCACTTCCCGGTCTAGAGCTGTCGATTGTCGTCGCCTATCCACCCCGGGCTATGTCTCGAAGCCATGCAGAGACCTGTAGCTTGGACCGCTACAACGACATAGCTGAGAGCCCCTAGATTAGAAGGGCGCTAGGCATGACGCCATACATCCTGAGAGTCATGAACCCCGGAACCCCCACTCACACAGAACTCCTCGGTTCTGCCGAGCATCGAAAGGGCCGGTGCCCTCCACGTCGCCGTCGGCTCCGAAGGTGAGACTTCGGATCTCGGAGCGAGTGTGGCCTGGAGGGATGTAAGGGTTTAGATCAAGGGCTTCGCGGACTTTGAGTTTAGGGTTTAGGGTTCTCATTTTTAGGGTTTCTCCCAGTTTCCTTGCTTCGAGATTGTTGGACGGCTTTGCAAAAAGATGTCAGTCAGGCTTCCAGGGCAGTACCTAGCCCGAAACCTAAAAGGGCCCTCTAGAACTGCTATGGAACAGAATCCGTAGAGAACCCTTCTCGACCAACCCTTATGGATCACGAAACCCAGAAACCGCAACACCAGAGCATCGCTTGGCCTTTCCCCTCGTGGATCGTCGCTTTCCATGTGCCCGACCTGACGCCACTTCTGGGAGGCTTGTGATGGGCAGGCTCGACACTAGACACTTTCAGACGAAACATTCTATGTGCCAAGCCCGAGAGCTTTCCACATGCGTCATAGCGACATTAAGAACCAGGCCGATAACCTGATCTAGTCTGAGTAAATCTGCTTCTGTTAGTACACGCTCTGTTAAACGATGGATCTTACGATGGTTGGGCCCGGTTGCATTGGTCTCAAAATCGGCTAGACTCGACTAGACGGTGGACGTCACCATGCTTGAGGCTGAAAGCTCTGGCTTCCAAACGCACTCGGCCAGGGCCGTCATCATAACCATAGAAAAAGCAACAGTGCTGAAAATACTGAAACATCTCAGCTCCCATGCGTAGAAACAAACACATCAA